CCCCAACAAAGGGAAAAAAATAAAACATGGTATTCGGAGTTTTCTAAAAGAAAAGAAAAAACATTAGGGTTCATTGATGTTAAAAATAGAGGAAATACATGTTTGGTCTAAAAAAAAAAAATAGTTTAGGGTTTTTTGTTTCCTTTTTTTGTCTAAAGGTCTTGACGGCTCCCAAAATTATAGGAATTTTATTAGGAACTCAACGAAAGTGAATATAATAGGATAAAGTTTGGTGATTTAAGAAAGGTTAAGTAAAGGATGAGACTAAATTTGGTGTTTATCTTTAAAATTTTGAGACCATTTAAATATTTGAAAAATGAAAAATGATTGGGATACTTTTCAATTTGATACACCTTTTTGCACTTGCCAGCTTAACTATTAAAATATAATATAAGTATAATTAATTCAACTAGTTTCTGTATCTTGTATATATGATTGCATCTTTAAGTTTATCTGTTTTTGATTTTAAACTAAAAGATAATAATTTTTTAATAAATATATTATATAATGTATTAAATCAAATAGTGTATCAATAAGTGTCTTTAAAAAATATTCAATACAACATCATTTGGTTGGATTTTTAGGTTATTGCACTTTTTATATTACTGCCAGACTTACGTTTCCAACAATCTACAACAATTAGCTACTTTAGTTCTTAGTTTCTTGTCATGATTTACATCTTGCCAGGGGCAGAGCTAGAAATTGATTTGAGGAGAGGCGAACCATTGTTTAGACTTTTATATATCAAAAATGAATTTTGTGAAAATTGAGACTTTAAATGAGAATAAGAATCATATTAAACCAAAATTACATGTCATATATGTAGCCAACCTAAAACTATGCTCTTGTATCTATCTAATTATCAATTCTTAACAAAACTATTATAACAAAATACTAATTTATATGTTCTAGACAATAATAAAACAAAGATATTCTAAGAAATTAGCATATTAATTCCTAGTTAATATTATGGTGTATATTTTTCAAAAATCTTTAAAAATCAAGTTGTGTCACAATAACAATGTCAAATAAACATAGAATCTCTAAAATAAAACTATAAAAGCTATTTTACTCCTAAGAAATTAGTGTTATATCTTTAACAAAAATTATCAAAGGAGAAGAAAATATATATATTTTTATTGAAAATAATTGTCAAGGCAAGAGAAAAATTGTCAACCTATTAAAAATTATATTAAACAAAATTAGAAAATAGAATATAAATATATAGGGGTTATTTGATTTTTTCAAGGATATATAGGGTATTTTTTGAAAAATTTTCAAAAGTCGAGGGGGTTGCTAGTCCCATCAGACCACTCCTCCTAGCCTCTTGAGTTTATGTTTCTAGCTATTTATTTTCTATTAGCAATTTAGATTTCTATTTAGATACAGTTACTGCACTTTAGTAATTAATTTCCATGGTAGTTTTCTAGTATTTGTAGGTTTTTTTTTTATTAGCAAAGTGAAAAAAATTTTATTCTTTGAAGTACAAGGGGTACTCCAACCTATTTACAAAATTAAAAAAGATTGAAACAAGCACAATGGATGCTAGCAAAAATCATACACCTAATCTACACAACTCTAGCAACCATCACGAAAAGTAAGCTTCCAATGTACACATTAAACATGACCCTGTTGTTGCTTCAAATACCTCTTCAATTGAGATTTGTACATTCTCACTACCAAAGCACAACCAACTAGATCAACCCTCCATTCATAGAGTGAGAAAACACAACTATATAACTTATTCTTAACCCAAATAAATGACTTAACCCGTACCATATGCAGCATTCTCTCCATATAACTCCCATTATTCCGAAACACACAAGCATTCCTCCAAAACCACAAATACCAAGAGAGAATAGGAAAAATACAAGAACTCATCTCTTTCCCCACTATCCTACCCAAGCTATACCGAAAAAGCTCCTCCACTTTATTTGGCAACACAGCTTCTATACCCCACTAGTGTATCACCTTTACCACCTTTACCAAAACTTAGATAAAGAAAGATGAGAGAGAAACCTAGAGAGAAAAGACCTTTCCTTCTTTGCAACCTGCTTCACCGGCCTACAACGAAGGCCCCCCTTTCATTGGAGAACAGTGATCAACCTGAGTGGCAACTAGTGAGGGAGAGAACCTACCACAACCTTAAGCCATACTACCAGAAAAGAGATTGCACGGGTGCATGCTATGAGGGCAAAAGAGATGGGACAATTCAGGGAAAGGTGGAGTGGTTTAGAGGGGGTAGAGGAGGTCTTGACAAAGGACTGTTAAAGCAGACCACATATTTCTTTATCACAAACTTCCCAGAGGAATGGAGGTATGAGGATATGTGGAAAGAATTCAAGAAATATGGTAGAGTTATCCAGCTCTATATAGCAAATAAGGACAAATGGGGTAGAAATTTTGGGTTTGTTTGATATTTGGACATTAAAAACCCTAAAGAGATGGAGTTGAACTTGAGCAAAATAAAGTTGGGTGAGAGGAGACTCCAGGCAAACTTAGCAATGTACAATGAGGAGAGTGGAGCATTAGGGATGAAGAAAAGGGAAAGTAAGACTAATGCAAGCCCTACCAAGCAAGTTGAAGGCATTGATGGAATGAAATCTTACGTTGATGCAGTAAGGAGTAATGTGGGGGCACCAGAAGGAAATGGATTGTCGGGAAAAAGATGGACCCCAAAGAAGAACAATAAAGTGAATGAAGAGATGAGTGAGCTAGAAAATGTGTGGGAGTGCCATCCAAGTGCAAAGAACAAAGAATGGTTGAAGAATTATTTTGTTGGGTAGATTCAAAGGCTAGAAGTTCTTGCAAAGCTTAAAGATAAAATTATGATCGAAGGATTCTTCTCAATTAACATCACTCAAATGGGGGCAACTTTGGTGCTAATACATAGTGATGTTGAAGGAGAAATAATGAATCTTATCAAAAAGGGTAGTGGGTGGATAGGAGAAAGGCTCAAAGATATAAGAACTTGGAGCCTAAAAGAGGTGGCAAAAGAAAGATACACATGGCTTCAATGCTATGGTGTACCATTGAATATATGGAACGAAGAGTTCTTTAAAAGGGTAAAGAACCGGTATGGAAAAGCTATTGAGGTTGATCAACCCACAATTCTCAAGAAGAGTAGGTAGAGTTTGTATATCAACAGCTACACCAGAAAACATCACAAAGATATTAAAGATTAAAGTGGGTGAAGTTTTCTTTCAAGTAAGAATTTGTGAAGAAACATGGACAGAGAATGCCTATAGTCCAAGTTTTTTGTCAAAGAAAGAGGGAGAGTCCTCAGATGAACTATGGGTGCAGGAATCCTCATTAGGCGAAAGTGACTCAGAATGGAAAGATAGGGAGTTCGTAGAGGACTCCTTGCAAATTTCGACAAGGAAGGTAAGCATGAAGGGAGATAATCAGACAGTAGGGGAAGAAGGATGCTCACCAGTGGGAAATTTTGAAATACCATTGGAGGTGGCTAGAAAGGCAACAGTGACAAATGGGACAGATGGGGAAGTTGAGATAGCTAGCAACCGCCATATTAGGAAGGAGTGTACTAACCCTAAGGGCTACAAGAAAGAGGTTGAAGTTCTAAAGGAGCTGAGGGTCGAAGAGGAAGAAAAGGAAACAATGTCTGATTTTGAAAGGGCTAGCAGTAACAAACCACAAAAGGTCCATTTTTGACCTTCTCAAGTAAAGGACAGGCAAGAGGAATTTGGGCCAAAAGCTCTGTCTAGCCCAAATGGGTCTTCAAAAATGAGAAAGGACATAGTGGACAGCAACTGCCTTAAGTGTCAGAAGGGACAATCTAGAAACTTAGTGGGAGTAGAAAAGCAAAAAGTGAACAGTATCACAAAAGAAAGCGACTCGAAAGAAAGAGATAAAAGTGAAGATTGTAGAGATGAAGTGAGTCATTTCTGGGTAAGGCTAGCAAGTGAGGACGAATTATCAAAGCTGAGAAAGGAAGGAAAATAGCAGAGAAAGATGAGGAAGAGTAGAGGAGATCAAAGCAGGAAAGAGAAAAGAAAGAATAAACAGACAGCGACTAAAGGCATGAAAGTGGACCTAGAAAGAACCAAAGAAAAAAGTGCTTAGATGGAGAACAGAGCCGAAAGTTCACAAAGAGGTAACTCCATTTCAGAGAATGGCATCAATAATTGTAATAAGAGGTTTATGTTGAGATCGTGGGAAGAAAAGGTAAGCGAACTATAGGTAGTGGGAAAAAAATTGGGTTTGGTTAGAAAGGGTAACGAGGAAGAAATAATCAAAAGATTGGGGGAAATGGAGAAGAGGGATAGATTGGCTTTAGTAGAAAAGAATCGAAAGGCTAGGGCAGATAGGGAAAGGAAGGAATTACTAAGATGAAGGCCCTATCTTACAATGTCAGGGGTTAGAAGGAAGGGGGAAAAAAAGGGAATTAAAGGAGATGATAGCAAAGGAAAGGTTCGATGTGGTGTTCATACAAGAAACTAAGATTGACTTGGTGTGAAGATGGGCAGAGCAATCTGGGGAGCAAGGGAGTTTGACTAGGTAATAAAATCGACAATAGGCAACTAAGGGGGTATATTGTGCTTATGGAACCAAAATAGTCTCAAAGCTCAGAATAAGTTTGAAGGATTCGATTTTTGTGGGTTTGAAGGTCAGTGGTGGAGTGAGGAGGTACCTTGCATATTTATTAATGTATATGCACCATGTGACAAGTAAGAAAGAAGACGAGTATGGGCAAAATTGCAAGTAATGTTGAGCAATTACAATGATAAATTGTGGTGTATTGGAAAGGATTTTAATGCTATAAGAGATTTAGAAAAGAAACAGGGGAAATACATTGATCTTGGTAGTATGATTGAATTCAATAATTTTATTTCAAATAATGACCTAGTGGATTTACTAATGAAAGGTAGGAAGTACACATGGTATAGGAGTGATGGCTAGGCTACAAGTAGACTAGATAGATTTCTGGTATTTGAAAGTTTCTTGCAAAGTTTCCAGAATGTTGATCAATGTGGATTGCAAAGATCCTTATTAGATCATTGCCCAATAATGCTACAATTGAGAGTTGAGGACGAAGGTCCAAAGCCTTTAAGAACTATTGATAGTTGGCTGACACACCTTGAGTTTCAACAGTTTGTTAACGAAAGATGGGATAGTTTTGACGTTAGAGGGTGGGATGGTTTCAAACTTAAGGAGAAACTAAATATGTTGAAGAAAGAATTGAGAATTTGGAATAAGGAGGTATTTGGCGTAATAGATAACAGATTGAGGAAGCAAAGGAGGCAATTAAATTGACTGATGAGAAGAATGATATGGGGTATATCAATGAAATGGAAAAGAATAAGAGGGCAACCAATTTTAGACAATTGCAAGAATGGGTTGATAAGAAGAGTAATCTATTGTTTCAAAAAGCAAGACAGAGATGGCTAAAAGAGGGAGACATAAATAGCAAGTACTTTCATGCTTGTGTGGCGTGACGAAAGAGCCAAAATAGTTTGAGCGGGATAGTCCAACATGGCAGATGGATTGATGGAGTTCAAGAAGTGAAAAAAGCAGTGAAAGACTTCTTCAGAGAAAAGTTCAAAAAAGACAGCTGGAATAGACTAGTATTGGAAGGCATAAGTTTTAACATGATTAGTAATGAAGAGAATGCCAAGATGGTAGCAGAATTTGCTAAGGAGGAGATAAAAGAGGTAGTGTGGTACTGTGGAGGTAGTAAAAGCCCTGGCCTAGATGGTTTCAATTTTAATTTCATTAAAAGGATGTGGAGTACAGTGAAAGAAGATATCTGTGAATTTATAAGAGAATTCCATGGGAATGGGAAACTTGTCAAAGGAAGCAATGCATCATTCATAGTGCTAGTTCCAAAAATGACAAACCCGTAAGGTATGAATGACTTTCGCCCTATCTCTCTTATTAGATGTAGCTATAAAATCATTTCAAAGCTATTGGCAAATAGATTGAGAAAGGTGATGCCTAGTATTATAAGTGAAAGTCAGTCAGCATTTGTAGGGAATAAGCAAATCGCTGATGGCATTATCATTATAAATGAGGTGCTACATGATATGAAAAGGGGCAATAGGGTGGGTTTAATTTTCAAAGCTGATTTTGAAAAGGCATATCATAATGTGGAGTGGAGTTTTTTAGATTATATGATGGACAAGTTTGGATTTATTGTGAAATGGAGGAATTGGATGCGAGAATGCTTATCAACGGCAATAGTTTCTGTGCT